TTACGAACTGCCTGGCCAGCGACGGCAGGGGAGTTCCTCGAGGCCACCGCTGTGGACCTCAGGGAGGAGCCTTGCACCCTTCAGATGGGACGGAGGACGAGGACGAGGGAGGGAGAGAAGGAAGGAGAAGCGGCGGCTGTCGCTGCCCTGTTTCGGATGGCAGAGTTCCTAAACCAGAACCTGAGGGGGTTCCATGCTTCCTTTCTCTCCGTGCTTGGACCACGGCAGGGGAGTTCCTCGAGGCCACCGCTGTGGACCTCAGGGAGGAGCCTTGCACCCTTCAGATGGGACGGAGGACGAGGACGAGGGAGGGAGAGAAGGAAGGAGAAGCGGCGGCTGTCGCTGCCCTGTTTCGGATGGCAGAGTTCCTAAACCAGAACCTGAGGGGGTTCCATGCTTCCTTTCTCTCCGTGCTTGGACCCTCCACCCGCAAATAACAAATTGGGGGGTGGTGAGGGGTATCATTCCCTCCTCCTCTTTACTTTCCCCCCCTTAATTCTAGCCTCTCTGTACATTTGTGGAGTGGTAGAAATCAGACAGTGACAGCGGAGAGTCTTGGCTCTCTCTTTAAAGCCTGGCAGGTTCTATACAGTACTTGGCCTAAACTTTTATGGACTGCACCCCGCTTTAACACGTGGTATCTCGGCGGCGTGCCTCTTTTCAGCAAAAAGCAGAGTTGTCCATTGGCCGGAGTCAGGCTGTTGCCCTTACTTCCCGGCAGTCAGTCATCTGGAGATTTGGCAGCCTGTATCTAGGTGGACACAGTCAAGGGTTGTGATCCCTCCCCCAGCAATTGAGTCGCAGGGAGGCAATCATAAGGGCAATCAAACATATAAAATGTTGTTACTCCGAATGGAAATTCAATGTAACGTCCGATACTGTAGCCGGGTATGTCCTGAGAAGTCTTCAGGTCCACCAAATAAGGCTGAAGAAATGTAACAGCACAACTACAGTACTTATTACAGTATTCCTTTTTTTCTTCTCTTTATCCCATCCACAATGTTTGTTGAACGTTAGATTGCAGGTTCTTTGGGGCAATACCCATCCTCTTGTCTTCCCATGTCAGGCATCATAAACATAGATTTTGTTGTTGTTTAGTCGTTAAGTCGTGTCCAACTCTTCGTGACCCCATGGACCAGAGCACGCCAGGCCCTCCTGTCTTCCACTGCCTCCCGGATGGTACTATACAAATAAGCAAATAAACTGTCCTGCTGTTTGTGACACAGTACTGAGTGTGGTGACAGATTAGAACTCAGGAGAACTGGGTTCAAATCTTCACTCATCCTTGGAAATTCATTGTAAGTGTGGAGCTGGTAAAGCCATTCCTTAAATATCTCACTTACCTTGAATGCCCTTTTAGAGTCACTATAAATTGGTTTCTGTTTTGACTTGACTGCACATAACAATTGTCTGTGATAAAAGTCCCGGTCCCTCTTTTTTTTGGGGGGGGGCAGATTAAAAAGCTGATTGAAAAAATTTGTGTGCTGCCTTTCAGAATATACTCCTCCAAGGCAGTGTGCAATAAACATAAATTTCTCTCTCTCTCTCTCTTTCTGTCATGTACATAAGAGCATGTACACTGATCAAAAGGGTAATAAGATCAGAATAAAATGTTAAAAACAAATACAGTAGCAGACATAGTCCCGGTAAAGGCTTATAAGCTAAGATAACAAAGGGGGTCTTTAGTAGATGTAATTTTTCAAGTGCAGGCTGTCATCAGAACAATCCCCATCATCATAGTCTCAAGGAGAGCCTCCCTGCAACCAAAAACAAAACCAGACCACTGTATTGATCCTTATCCACAAACCAGTTCTACCAAGTTTCCTTTTTTTTTTTCTCCAACAGGAACATGTGTTTTTTTTTTTTAAAGTGAATAGGCATCATCTGCTTGCACAGGACCCAGAATATTTTATATTACAACAGTGGTAGCCCACAAAACATATATTGATTCAGGGGAAATATCCTGTCCTCATTTGCTGTAACTTCTGCAGATAAGCTCAATGGGAACATGAAGACCTGAGATGGGGGTCAGAAGACCTTGTCAGTCCTAGTATCCCAGCACCTGGGTGCTTTGACCCCTTTGAGTGTTGGGTCCACCCCAACACTGCAGTTCAGGGTGTGCTGTAAGGAGGTCATGGTAGACACAACTTTTTTCCATTGTGCCCACCAGCCTAATAGCTTTTACAGGCAAGAAAGCCAGTCGGGCCTATTTTCAAGTTAATGCAGCAGCACCCGAGCAACCCACCCTATTGACAAAGATCATTCTAGCAGATTATGATTCCCTGAATTACTCTCTTTCAGAAGTGTAAAACAGACTCTTCCTTGATGTTGCACTGAATACTGTACTGGAATTTGGATCATTCAAATAACAAATGCAAAGCACACATTTTACATGTTTCTTAAACAGTTTGGTTTCTGTGTCAGGTGTTATGACTGGTTATATATGAATAATAAGACAATATCTGGTTTGATAAGAAATCACACTTACTTCGGTTTCTGCAGTGTTTTGGAATTATATTCTGAGCCTGAGTCACTGCATGTGATGATACCATAAGCAATTTTAATATAATTTTCATGTTGCTCATATTTATTGATGTAATAATACAGATAGATCAAGAGATGGCTTAGTGTTGTGGATAAACTGGTGGACTCAAATTCAGGAGACTTGGGTTCAAATCCCTGTTTTGGTTGTGAAGTCTCACTTAGGGGTGTCATTAGGAAACTACTTCCGAAATATTCCATATTCTATATATTAGGGTCACTGTAGGTCAGATGCACATAAACACACATAGATAGATGCCTCCCTGTATTGGTTGACTGTCAGCATTTGTTTATCATCCTTCAGCCCAGCAGGGCTCCCAAGTAGGTGAAATAATAAGCCCTCAGTATAATGCCAAACAATGCCTGGGTAACTCAGCATACTGGGTACCTGACTGCAGAGCCAGAGGTCAGGCATTTGACTTCCCTACTGTGCCTTCTAGGAGAAAACCAAGCTGCACAGTCCCAGGGCACTGCTAGAAGAAGGGACTGGAAAACCACTTGTGAGTACTTTATACCAAGGAAAACCTAAGTTGGAAATGACTTGGTGCTACATGGTTGTTATTATATTGTCAGTCAAGAAGTACCAGATGCATACAATTTCTTGATGCCTCTTAGTTTGCTAACATATTTTTTTTTGCATGCATGCTCCAACCTGAGTATAGAAATGCCAAATAGTTTTCATTTTAACTAGCAATTCCATACTGCTCATCTTCCTCGCATATATTGCATATACTGTAATATGTTAATGTTTGAGATACACAGTGTGGTGTACTGGATAGAGTGATGGACTAGTGAAACATGTTGACATAAGTAATCAGCTTAACACAAAGTATGGAATGGATGATTAGGGTTTTAAAAGGAGGACTGAAACAGTTTAATTTGAACACAATTAAAATTTTTAATTTAATTTAGAGTACTGTACCTTTTAGACTTCATTAATCCACATCTTTGACTGTTTTCGTTCAGCAGGTCGTATAGCTCAGTGGTTTAGGTATCTCACTGTGGAACCAGAGGTTGGGAGTTCAATTCCTTACTGTGCCTCCTATGAGAAAAGCCAGCCTGTGCCACCATGGGCAGGCTGCCCAGTCCCAGGGCATCCCCAGAAGAAGGAACTGTGGTGCCACTTCTGAGTACTTGCTACCTAGAAAACTTTGGAAAGGGTGCCATATGTCAGGAACACAATTATTTATTATTTGCTTGTTTTAGCTCTTCCCTTATATTAATATGTCATTTGAGCTGCTGGATCCCTGTTACTT